AACAGCACGAATGAGTTGACGGATAGCGTTGATGTCCGCGAAAACAAAATCTTAAGATTCGAACTTGGCGCTGGTAGACAAACGGTTTGAGAAGGTCACCTGAACTTTCGTTACTTCGGCTACTTCGTTTCGACGTATGTATGATAAACATGTTTCCTATATGCTTACACGTGCACGTGATATAAACATATGTATACCCGTAACACGCCTCATCAGTCATTGATCCGCGTCATTAGGACTGTAATGATAGTATACGCACTCCATCGGCTTGTAATGTACCGTCGGAACGGGTACCGTGAAACGTACGCCATCAAATTTTCGATTATAAACGTCCGGGCGCGATGGTAACGTGTGCTTACGATTTGAATTTGCAATCTACCGGGAGAAGCATAATTTTTACCGTCGGGGGGAAAAAAAACGCAAAACCTTCCGTCTTAATCGATCGATTCGATAAAGTAATTTTTGCACGTTAAGCGTAATATGAGTGGGTGCTTTATGTTTTTATACACTGGGAAGTTTTCACGAAATGCGCGTGGTGTAAAAAACGTGATGGTTTTCACATTTTTATTCGACCGTCGGCACCGCCACAGGAAATGAAACGGACAACGTAATAACAATATTCATAGTGCATTACAACGACCGGTATTTAGTGTATACATAGCGCTTCTGCTTTCCTAGCGCGGTTTTTTTCATCGCGTCGTACCTATCCGGCACCGCGTACGACCGGCGCGACCGAGAAGAATTCGCTGGTTTTTACATTATTATTATTTCTTCTCCTTCTTTCGGCGTCTCCGAAGCAGCTCTCGACGCGCGTTTTTTTTTTTTGCTCTCGCGTACACAGCACACGCGAAACGATTTCCAGAAACATAGCAGTACCTTTGATCACGTTCCGATGGTCTCTCGAATGTTAAACATCTTCCGACGAACATTAACGCCGAACGGTCTTGTACAGCGGCCGCGACCGGTAGTCGACGGCGTAACAATAATTTACCGGACCCGGTGCAGGGTACGTGATATTATACTCTTCGCGCGGCGGAGTTGGTCTGCCGTTCGGAGGGGAAAAAAAAATCATCGTCCGAGGTTAAGGCCCCGCCGAGAATGTCGCGCCGCGGTTTCGTGTGTTCGAACGCGATTGCCGATCGAAGACAACGTTCCCGAGAGATTAAACAATATGATTACCGCAGTGGCGTTCTTTTGCGATACACGTAATATGTATGTATATTATGTAGACGCGGGGAGCTGAAAAAAAAAAATACGTGGACTGTCCGAATCCGATCCCGCGCGACAAAACGCTAATAAAACACGTTGTCGTTAATTCGTTCTTGGCCACAGCGATACGAATGCTGACCGTAAATCACGCACTGTGACGGTGCTAGAGTTTGCGAGGCCCTGGGCAAAATAAACGTTGCGTCTTATAATTTATACTAATAAAATATTTTAAGTTCAGTTAAATCAGAACCGCGGGGCCTTAATTATAATTTAAGGCGCGGGGCCCTGGGCAACTGCCCCTATTGCCCACCCAGTGGCGCCGTCCCTGATCACGTATTAAATCACGATCCTTTACACGTTCGATAATAAACGTTTCCTCCCGTGCTGCGACATGTGATGCTGATACCCCCCACTACCGTTACTGTAGCGATTACACACGGCTTTCAGGCACGCGTACCGCCGATGTTTACGAACGAGAAACTCGGTCCGACGCCAAGAAAAGAAGTTTGAAGTTGTCGCAACGCAGTGCGAGGCTATAAATCCCAACAGATCAGACAAGGGCGGTCACGGGTGACCAATGTAATTTTATATTAGAAATAATCAAACTTTTTTATAAAAACTGAGGTATAGCAGATAAGCAAAAATATATCAGGCGAACGGTGGGCTTATCTATAAAAGGGTATGGGATAAACCGGTGCATAGTAGTTAATGTTATAATCTAGTTATTAGTGTCATATCTCAGTCCGGTCGCCCGTGATCGGGCCTTGCCTGTAGAGGGTTAATAACGTTTCATGCGCTGCAGTAATTGAACGTGTACGCTCTCTGCAGTAACTTTTCGTTTATAAATCACGTGATTTTTTTTAAATTTAAGAGTTTAATTAAGATTTAATAAGATTCGATTAAACGCGATACAATAACTCTGAAACGAACAACAGTTTAATTGAACCGTTTAATGCACTATTACAACAATACACGGTGACCTTTGATGATGTCTCATTTCGTATTGATATCAAACCGTAACAACGTGTACCGATGACGATGATCGTCGTTCATTACCTACGTACGTTCATGTCGAACGCGGTAACTGCGTGTTTTTATACCAAACACAGTTTTCAACACACATTTTTCGTTATGACAAGGGCTATTTTTGCCGATTTGGCCAGAAAGTCCTAAAACGATTGGCTGTTTCGTTTCGTACTTCTGTTATATAATTCGCGGTACTGTGACTTTGAACATATGAATTGGTATGCACTGCTTACAGGGGAGACCTCGAAAAGGTATAGCAGCACCTCCCCCGGTCAATAATTAAAGTGCTGTATACTTAGCGAGCTAAAGTATTCGGACTCGCCCGGGAGATATTTTATTATTTAAGATTAGAGTGATTACTAATCCTTAACCAAAAATAATTACGTTGATAAAACACATAATCGTCAAATGATATTTAATTTTTCATCGATTTCTACCACGTGTATTTATATTTACTTCGATCGGTAACTATCAAAATCAACGTATTCAATATATAATACAATATTTCCTGTATAACCAAAAAGTGAAAAATGTATTCAGCCTAAAACTGTTTCGACTGTTAAAAGAGGGATTTTTTTAAAAAAAAATCACTTTATTAAATTTAAAGCATATACGTTTTGTCGTTTTAAGAGGTGGCGATTAGTGAGTGAGTGAATGATATTTATTTATATTGTATAAATTAGGAGTTTGTTAGAAAGTATAATGGTAAACTACCATTAAGTCGAAATGTATTAAGAAGATTTCTGTATCTCCTTGTAAAAAAAATGATACAATTGAAATAATATTACATAATTCGTTTTTAAAGAAATAGGGTTTTTTTTTGGGGGGGGGGAGACAAGTATACGTACAAAATTAGATTGTCATATTAAGTCTAAAATAAAATCCCTGCAAAGTACTCGACATACGTAAAAGAAAAATACAAGAAGACAAACTGTGTCTGATTAAACGAAAAAAAAAAATTTAATTTAAAGAATCTTAAGATAAAAATTTTGATATCGCTCATGGCGATACTTTTGTTTTTATGATGATTCCCAATGATAGATAATTTTTACTGGTTTAAAAAAAAAAAGAGAGAGAGAAAAAGAGAGGAAGAGAGATATAAATGGGGTAATATAGTTACCAGTTGACAAGAATTCAGTGAAGAGAATATCGTAGAATACTTCAAAACGACAAAGATTAATTAATTATTACGTATAAATAAAGCGTAGATTGATAAAACCTCATTAAAACATTACTGTATAATTATTGAACATTTTAATTGTTTAATGATAAATAATAATATACTATTCGTTAAATAGTTTTTTTCTTAACATATCTGCATATTACACAAATATTCGAAGTATACACTTAGTACAGATTACAGATGAAATGCTCTCTACTTCTATCCACAACAAGATCGCTAATAATCTATGCATGCTCAGTACGGGCAGTTGATTCACAAACAAAAACTAAAAAACTCTAAACTCTTCGAAACCTTTTTTTTAGAATATCTCTAAAGGCCCTGTGGTTCATAGGAAATAATCAACTACACAACGATACTATACTTGAATAACTCAAAAAATCAAAAATTTATACGAAAATTTCCATAAAGCTAAAGAAGCACTGCACTGGAAAATCGGGCGACCGATCTACCAAACTAAGACTAAAACCACGGGTACGGCAAGATATACTGGAAGAAGACCTGACTCATAAATCTAACTAACTAAAATGTATTTAAAATTAATTTGTAAACTTAATTGTAAATTGTAAAAATGTATTGAAATGATTATATTAATAAATAAAAGTACATATTTGTCACTAGGTATCCGGTATAAGAAAAAACTGTGTACAAACCTAGAGTATAGCAATTATTATAATTTCATGCTTGAAAATATGTGAAATAAATATAAAAAAAAGTTAAAATATTTTATAATTGTCTATACTATGGAATTCAGTAAACCGTTTCGAAGTTCCCACACCGAAAATTATTGTTGGTGTACTGAACTAATTATAAAAATGCATAATGATTTTAACTTGGAAACGATCGCAGTGAAAGAACAATAATTCAAAAACCGCGTCCGGCTTAGTGTGAAAAAATGTAAAGAGGGACTATTGTTACGGGCATAAACTCGTTTCATTTTATTAAAACGTTTTATTGGTTTCGACCGTCTCGTAATAATGAATCGAAATAAAAAACGAAAAGTCAGTTATTTCCGAAACTGATCGACATTACGTTTCTTACCGCTGTTGTTCGATCGAAGGATATCAATTGTCATTTATTCATCGTGTATCGTTTTTCTTCCGAATGGAAAATCACGTGTTTACGTCGTTCTCTCGTGGTCGTCGTAGGTTACCACGTTACAATAGTTATCGTGGTAACACATCGCGTCGTGACGGGCTCGGCGGCGTGTGCCATTAAAAACGTCGTCGAATCCCGGATCGGTTTCCAATCGTTTTTTCCCCGTTATCCGCAGCGCACCGGTGTCGTAAACGCAGCATTGTATTTGTACGATGTTCGCGTTGCAAAACCGATTTTTCCCAAGGACGGTCGGGCCGCGCGCGTATCCGATCGGAGGTGCAACTAGGAATTTTTACGCGCGGGGAAAACCTTAAAATCACGACCAATAATCAAACACTCTTCTCAAGAATTTTTTTCTAAAAATTGCTAAGATTTCTGATATGCAATCATGCTCATTGAGTCTCGACCTAATATCAGTGCTCAACAAAGTTGAAAATATCAGACTGGTTGTTGATAATTACGAAAATTACACCCTCTAAGATTGTACGCCCAGGGATGAATCCCCGTATTCCACCTCCTAGTTCTGCCATTCTTTCGAATTCGAAACGGCGGTGGATGATGTTGCTCGCGTCGAATCGACAACTACGATAAACAGCCGATCGCAACTCTCGCGGAATTCGGCGGGCCCGGAAATCGAAATCTTCGCCTCGAGGAAGACGACGACGATCGAAATCTACTGCGCCGACCGTTGCGGTCACATGTCGTCCGTCGTACCGAACCGGTCTCTGTGCCATCGGATCGCGTGCGCAAGGGAATTGCATGCGACTGCGTAGTACCAGCCGAGTAATACGAGATGAAAATCGAACGAGCGAACGCGATTTTTTTATTTTCTCCACCACTCGTAGACGTTTACGCGCTTTCTTGTTTTCTCTGCGCGCGCGAGCTCGTCAATGCGATACAAATAACTTTTGTCGTGTTCGACACTCACAACGATGTACATATCAAACGCAGTTACATCTGAATCGTCGATGCTACGCGTTTTGCGTCGTTTTCCAAAGCTTTTCGTGCGGCGCCCAGATAACGTGTGTTTTTGTTTGAAAACAATAGGTTAGTTAATTTTTGCATTATTTTTTTTTCAAATTTTTTCTGAAAATTCTTTAATTTGCAAACTTCGTATTCTTCGTTCATTGAATCAATTTTGTTGTATTGTTTTATCAGAACGTTTTCGGAACTTTTTCAAATTTGTATTTCAAATTTTACTTCAAGATCCCAATGTGTTAACGTGGTTTTAGGATAAAAATATTTAACATAATTTTTATTCGAAAATGTAAAGCTCTAGTGTTCTAGCGCAACTGAAACGTACAATGATCTCAAACGATCCAATTCAACTTATTGAAATAATTAATATTATATGGGAAACCTTTTTTATTTCCGTACTTAAATAACTCGAAGATATTCAGTTCTGTTCCTTAAAACTTTTTCATACAAATAATTTTTTTTTCTAATTTAATCAATTTTATCAACTATCATCTAAAACATTATTTCATTTATTTATTTTTTCATGCAACACCTAAATATTTTAGGGAAAAACATTTTTTAGTTATTATACATACATTCCCAATACTGATCTTCGTGGGATCGAATGTATTTACTATAATATATTATTTCACGGAGTTAGAAAATCGACTTTAAAGATAAAATAATTGAAAGGCATAGAAAACAATAAAAGCGTTATATAGGTACTGTATTTGCATATTTTTATTTTTAGCCACGACAATATTGAATAGTATATGTTGTACACTCATATTAGTAAAGACAACAGGTTCCCGAAGTGGTTTATATCGACCCCCTGGTGTCGATTCTAACCAGTAAGGGGTCTATATCTATGAAAATTGGGAGATACATCATGTGTAAATAGGGGTTAGTTATAAGTCAAAAATGCGTGTTGTCATTTTTACGAAAAATATATGTGCGACGATGCGAACAAAAACGATTAGGTATTATAACGAATACTGTCGATAACTACTAACGGAATCGAAGATGAATATCGGAATATTAAGATAAGATCAAATTACACATTCAACCGTTCATATTTAGGTCTCACTAATAACTAATAATTAGTATTTGCAATTCTTATCGTTTTAATTACTAAAAAAATTATATGAATATTATCATTATTAAAGAAATAAAGGTGTTATTAAAAACAACACGTCTTTTATTTTAAAAAAAAAATGCAGTCCATAGTAAAGCAAATTCAGGTGAGCAGTTCCATGTAAGCTATGAAAAACACCAAGATGAATTTGTAAAAATTTAATTTTAGGGGTCTACGAAAATGGAAAAAATTGGCACGTGGTTTACGGGGGAAACAAGTTTGGGAATCTCTGGTATAGAGTTATGGAATCGATGAAAGGAAGAATGTATGTGTGTTTAAAACGCGTCGAGACGGTTTGAGAAGAACGTTGTTCGAAATAGGCCAGGGCATTGTTTTATTATAATCCATTTCGACAGAGCAATATTTAGCGTGTATGAATATTTTAAAAGCATCACACAATGTTATTAATTAAAATGTTGGGCAAGGTGTTTGCATACATCCACGAGAATATATTTTCCTAACAAATTTCGCGTACATTTTGCAAGATCACAAGGAATGTGGAATCCAAAAAATCTCATTATTCGCATTGCGTAAATAACGTATATTTATCGTAGATATTCCTCATCTTGCTCATGTTTTAACAACATTCAAACGGATACTCAACACGGCACATTGTTGTACATTATTTTTGTTTCGCCCAAAATCTAAAAAAGAAAATGTAGAAAGAAAAAAAAAATCGTTGAGTACAAATTAAAGTAATCGACACCTAGTTATTTCATATTTAAATTAAAAAGGAAAAGTAGATCAGAATATTTACGCAGAAAGATTTCATTAGTTAACGTTGAGGCTAGAGAATTAATTAAATAGTTAAATTTAAGTCTTTCAAGAATTAATACTATGTAAAGCTTGCAACCTAGGTGCTTGTCCCTGTACAACTTTAAACGTAAGAACGTTTAGTTAGTGTTGGTTTGTTAGGCGTTGACAAATTTCGTTTTGTAATTGGTGCCATCATTTTTTTGTGTCGTTTTTGACCTATGCACAGCGCACATTTCACGGTCAGTACTAACTACTAGACGGTTCGATGCAATCTTTGGCGATGGCGTGATCTCCATCATAACAGCAACAATATTTTTCCTAGTGAAAACATATTAGAGCTGACACAATTTATTTATTAGTTTCGTTATAATATTTCAAGTCGCACCCAGTTAAGTATTGAATCTTATGAAATTTTTCACTTCTTATTCCTTACGCATCATTGCTGTATCAAATTTTTAAATTATACATTTGAAACCGTTCGAATAAAACTTGTTGTTGATTGTTTACCATTCATAAATTAAGTAGGGTAGGTTTGGTTTTCAGAAAAATATTGTTGAATGTTAAAACTATTTGTTAGTCTGGTAATCGAACGTTGTACGACAGTACGTGTAACTTTTTAAAATTACGAAAATATCGCTCTACGACAAAATTATTGTCCTTAAGGTATAATACATTGGTACACATTGTGCGTGGATTAGTAAATGTTTACACGTTAACGAGGTCGATTGTTTTAGCTAAATCCACACTATGTGTGTCATAGTTTTCCAAACCGAACCTAAATAAATGAATCGGCCTAGACCCTAAAGTAATGAGCAACATTAGTAACCGCACGAATGAGTTAATACTACGGCACGATAACGCAATGCAATTCTTTATTATGGTCGTTTTATTGTTTATTTATTTATTTTTATTATTATCATTACAATAATAAACACAACAGAAAAACGGGACAATCATGTTTCGTATTTGTATTAATTTGTTTTTTACCAACACTCAGTTGTTTCTGTCTCGTACAGTGGTCCGACCCGCTGTTCATCCACAACAGCAGTTACAGGGAAAGTTATAGACACTAGTAATGGTCGTTTAATTTTTTTAAGTCGTATAATGTTATGAAAATTCAAACGAAAAATGAAAAATGTTGACTTTCATTACTAATATAACAGTAAACAAATCGCCGTGTAAAATATTTATCGTACCATGATACAACGAATTCGGCATTAATTGTTCGTGTGAATATATATTAAATAAAGGAAATATATTTTAATTTCGTCTTCCGCGGTTACGATGTACTCGTATGAATACGACTCTCAGGTCATGTCAATGTCAAAAAAGGACCGTGTATGGCTTATAATTAATTTATCGAACCGACCCCTTTCAAATCGCAGTGTTTAGATGTGTATCAAAAATGGTATGTTACGTTGTTATATTATAATCGATTAACATAATTATATTGAAGAGCGAGCGCAGGGATTTCAGCAAAATATGTTTGTGTACAAAAATAATTATCAAAACGAGGAAAACGATTGAAGTACCAAAACAAGGTACCCGCGATCGCCGGTACAAATATAACTATATGTTTTAATTAAAGTATTAAATTAGCGGGTTTACAAAATAACTAGATAATTTATAAAATAACTAAAACGTTTAGATAATCTATTTTAGTTCATTTTTTAACAAGTTATTTTCATACATTCCCGGGACTCACTTCGTTAATGTGTTACATTGTACAAAATATGTGTGATATCGTTATTTTACTTGTTCCGAATTACTGCGCAGTCAGTGGAAACTGGTCAGGGGTTTTTTAAGTGCACATACAGTCGAACTTGATTAACTCGAAGTTGAAGGGACCGGAAAAAAGTTTGAGTTATCCAAGAATTCGAGTTAACCGAATTAAAAATGTTTAAAACAGTACGAAATATATTAATTCATATGTATTTATTATCAATAAAGTATATATCAACAGCTCACTCAGGGATATTTTTTTTGTCACGTGTCTGTTTAAACCATTTGTAAACGCACTCTTCAACATTAGGATTTTCTGATTTTCTAGCCCTTATTCTGTCTTTTTTACTGGACGTAGCAAACTTATTTAAAATTGTTTCTTTATTTTTACGACAATTTTAAAATGTGTTAAGTAGAATACCAAATCTTTAGCCTTCTATCAAAAATTTGTTTCCAATCCATTTTCAACTTCCCGTATATGTACCGCTTTTTCCTCGTATTTTAGCATTTTTAGCACGCGTTTTGACGACATTACGAACGAAAAATTACTTACGATCACGTTGAAATGAACACAGAGCACTGAACACTGAAGTCATGCATTGTCATGTAGTAAACCAGTAAGATAAACCAACTATCGGTATCGATATCACTAATGAGTAATGACTTTATTTTCGATATTAAAATTTATACATAGGTACACGAGGGAAATAAAAATTTTATAATATTCATAAAACTTAAATCTTCGAGTTATCCACGAAAATATTCGAGTTAAACAAAATTGTTTCACGTTGTTTAAATAGGAAATTCTAGGAACCGGAGAAAAACTTCGAGATATCGACGATTTCAAATTAAAGAAGTTCGAGATAACCAAATTCGACTGTATGACAAAAAATATTATTGCTATGTATTTGCATAAAAAAAAGGAGCTGTTCAACTATAAATGCCACAATAGCCTTTCATGTAAATCTTATTTTCAAGACGGCCGACTTCTACGATAACTCGTCGCCGCCGATATAATAAATACCTAAGTATAACCATTGATTATAAATACTAGTTTTTATAATCGATGGTATAAATAACACATGATGTACCTAATTTTTTTTTTTATGATTTGATTAGAATAAAATAAAATCATTTATTGTTTCTATCAGTGTTTACAACTGACTATTTAATTATAATTATTATTATTATTATTCTTTTACATGAAACATAATACATTATTAAATATTGTAAGAAAAATAAAGTTAATACTATATATATATATATATATATATATAGGCCTATAGTTAATACGGATTCGACAGCGTTAAGTTGATATATTCAAACGGTACAGGAGAAAAAAAAAGCCTGAATACGTATGCCCAAGAGTAAAGGACCGCATGTGTTTGACCATATCGGTGCCACTGACTTTCGATGACCTATAGTTATTTCTATCGTTTGCACAACTGTTTTTACGGTACATAGATCAGTGACGTGACGACTGGTGACATATGATATTGTGACAGTACATCATTTTAATATGGTCCAAATTTACAATAATCGGTATTTTTATCTACTTCGTTTCTTCTTAGGCGTTCAATGGCGACATAACCGCGTAGATGTGTCTCTCAAGTACAAGAGATAATAAATTAGGAAAAATACAAATATAACCTTTCTTAATAAATTTCACATCAATTATCAGTAATAATATAATACTATAAATATATATTTTTTTTTTTTAGGTACAATTATCTGTAATACTAAACAAAATTATAAATAAGTTTACAAAAATGTGTGAAAATTCATTTGTTCTCTACAGTGTGAAAATCAAAATTCCAAAAATATTTGATTGTTGCAATAGCACACTCTTTTTTAGCAGCCTTTTTTGTTGATCCTTTTCCGGTAAACGAAACACCATCCATTTCGCATTTTATTTCAAAACATGATGGGATGTTAGAACGAATTGTTGTTTCAGTGAATTGAATACCCGGTGTCATTTGATACAATAATTGTACAGGGTTATAATTTTCTGGTTTATTAGGAAATTTTTTCATACCACCAACCTTAGGTAGAGGTCTTACTGTTTCTTCTGGTATAACTTTTGAAACTGGCTGTAATTCCCATTGAGTTATCAAATTGTGCATAGCCAATGAACCAAAATGTGGCCATGGGAAATCTTCCTCAGATGGTCCTTTAGGTTTTGACGATGTAACACATTCATCCTCCACTTTTGATTTCTCAAAATATTCAACTTTTTTTTCTGGTCTTTCATTAATTTTTTTTTTCAACGTATCACGCAAAAAATTTTCACATGCTTTTTGTTTTGCTTGAGATTTAGAAACATGATCTCCAGTATAAACTTGTCCATCAATTTCAATTGAAGCAGTAAAAACCGCAAAGCTATTGTTATGTAGACGACCTTCTAATTTAATTGGTACATCTTTATACAACTCATAAAATACCATTAATGGACTCTTGGGACATACTAAACTTCGCTTTCGGGCATTGATTCGCTTTTTTTGTTCTTTCTTATTAATTTTACGTTTGGTTGGCCATTTGATTTCTGTTTTTCCAGTTATTGATTCATCAACACAATGACCATCAATGTTTTTAATCAAACTACTTTTATCTTTGATTTTAAATACCTCTGAAAATTCAGAAACTGGATTTTGAACTTGTGACTGAGAGTATTGGATTGGTGGTGGCAAATTATTTAGGGCTATATTTCTTTGATGCATTTGAGTCTGTCCAGTTGATTTGGCTGTTACAAATGTTGTTACATAGGGCATATTTCTTGCTTCTGTTTTCCACACAAACGGCCGAACAATTTTCATTTTTCTCGTGTAATCACTCTCTCTTGAACTCCTAGAGTTATACATAATGACTATTTTTCCTTGAATATCAGAACAGTATGAAATTCTTTTCAAGTTTCAACGAACAAGGCGCAAATTAATTATTCCAAAATATCGGGAAACTTCGGAACGAACAATCGTAATAAACGATAAACTAAATAGATACAAATAAACAATAAGCCATCAACAACTTTTTGCAAGTCAAGGCAACGAAATATCAGTACTACTAGTTGCAAATATTTTTACTATATTACATTTCTACTTGCCTTGTGCTCAGAATCTGTTCAGCACACCGTGTACCACTTACAGAATACAGACATACGGTAAGGCAGATAATGGAGGCTTCACACTACACGAACTCACAGTTCACGACGTTGTAACGTTATGATTTTGTGTATATATATATATATTTATTGATATATATACTTCTTCTTTTTCTGGCCAATTAAAATGGACCATTAAGGTCTTTTGCCGCTTCCACAATCCTTCTACACTCATCCCTATTCGTTGCCATGTCGATGCTGAAGGTGTTGTTTATTTTTGATAGGTCTCTCTTCACCGAATCAAACCATCTTTGGCGTAATAACCCCAGGGATCTCTTTCCAGTTGGGTTCTTATGTATAGATACATATACTTACCCAACAAATTCTGAAGTTACTTCAATACATTTTAGGGTTGCTTCAGCCCCTCCAAGCCCCCCCTAGTTACGCCTATGACCAGAAGTAATTAGAATCTGTATAGTGTATCGCAGTTAATTTGCTGTTCATAAACAAATATCCGTAATTCACATAATTTTCATCGACAAATTATTAATACAAACATTTTCAATCCCTTCAAGTTATATCGATCCAACCAAATAGGTAAATATTTTAATTAACCGATACTAATTATTCGATTTCCGAATAAAACAAGAAAATGTTGTGTTGATCAGTGCCAGATTAAGAGAACAGGCGGAAATTTCTTAACGAAAGTTTTGAAGTTTTCTAATGTATTAAAATGTTATAATTACCACAACTGTAAGGTTACATCATTGTGAAACGCCCTAGCCTAATAGAAAAAGAGTTGAAAATGTCGATCTTACAATGTACAGCGTGTTGAGAGTGGGTTATTAAATCGTTTATTATTTTATTTCTAAACGCAGTCGATATAATTTGTGGAGATAATCGTTATTTGGACTCGTATATTATCTCCAAATATAGACTCGGCCACTGCACAAAATCACGAGTTTCAAATCAACATCGTTATCCCACGGATTATAGTTTGAAGTTTTACACATAAGTACCTACATATTATATGAATTAGACCGATGTAAAAAATTATTAAACGCACGTAAAATCAGTTGACGTTGTTAATCGAGAGTTTTAGACGGTTCGCACTCTTCAAATGAACCGGAGCTGAGGGCAATTTGAGAAAGAATAATAAGTAAATCAAACTCATCTGAACAGAATAAAAAATTGTTTTAATCTATTCGATTTCATAAATTTCAATTACAACATGAATTTCTCGAATAATTAAAATAGAAAAGTAAGATAATTGATCATACTTTATTCTGAAACACCTTAATAATCAATGTATATATATTATTTTATAAACATACACACACATTCATGAAACCAGTTTCGAAAACTCTCCAAGTCGGTATTTAGTTCTTGAGTACTTGCAAATACGAACAATTTAACTATAACAATTTGCATACATTCCAACGTGAATATTAAAAAGCGTTCTCTTTCTAGAACGGTCATTTTGTCGTATGTTTCAGTATGGGTGAAAAATTTTTAATACCTCAATAAATTGTAAATTTAATCATTTATTTCCTCGATCGTTTGCAACGCAGCAGTTAATTTTTATGCTACCGCTGTAATTTTTTCCGGATATTTCTCGAATACGACTTATGCATTAGACGTAAAATCTTCAAACCTATTATAATAATTATATTCGAATAACCTCAAATTAAATAATTATCATATTATTTACTTTATTGCATATCAATGTACATGTATATCTAGGTATATACGTATGACACGAAATTTACGGTTTATTATTTTTTTCTTCAATTTGAAATATGAAACAGATAATTCGAATAACCATTCATTACCTTGTACGTACATTCGTTTAATGCCGATAAATAATGGCCAATAATTATTACGATGATATTAACTGCGGCAGATAACAACATTTTATCTGAATTTAGTCATTAAATATAATTAACGTGCGCATATTAATTATTCGTTTGGAAATTTTAGTACAGTTCAGATAGTAATACCGTGGGAGGGGATTTTTTAACCAAGTGGTTTAGGAGGTTGTGCTTCAATGCACAGCCGTCAATCCTAACCCAGTCGCTGGCGGTTTCGCTTTCCTGGCAGGACCACAGTCCTGAGAGGAGAAACTGCCACCCATTCCCAACCAACCGTCTTGAAAAACGACGAGTTTCAACACGAGTTAACCCTGATGTATTGTGTGTGTGTGTGTGTGTGCCTACTGTGGGACACACAGGTGTGGGATGCTTATGAACCTAGTTTTAAAAGCTCAATGGACTCGGAGAAATCGTGGTGCAATTGGTATCAATACTCGGTGTGTATGCGAAACGTTTGTTGTTTTAGTTTAATTATAATTTCGAATTTCTAGACATTGTGGGCCGAACACTGTGAGGTATTTGATCACATCTTACGTGAATCCTTTTGACCTGTAACAGGAAAAAAAAAATTATTAATAGTAACATAAGGTTAACGCGTCAACGCATTGCATTATGCTACGCACAAAGCGACATGACATGTAACACAGTGAGTATCATCCGGCCTCACGTGCTACACATTTTATTATTTTCGGTTAGAACGATTACTAAACATAAAAATTAGAGAAAAAAACGTACAATTATCTTATATTGTGCTCATATTTATACCGTGTTAATATATTTTAGATTCTGAGCCAAGTTGGATTTACTGGAATGTGTCTTTTTTTTGTACGTGACACTATTGCGAGTTGAGTATGCTGTATACGGTATACCATGTGTAAAATGAAATATTTATGGGGGGTTAAGCCCCTACCCCAGTAGCGTCTGTGCAACGAAATAAAGTGGTTCCCAGCTAACCGAAGAGCGGAAAAATTCGTACGTCCGACCAAGAGCCCGAAACCGTTTCAATCGTTAAAAATGCGATTTAAGTATGATCCACACTAGTCAGACACGTACCGACAGACACCGTACCGTACCGTTAAGATATACTACACTTATTATTGTTCCCATACCTACATTTTCGCTGCAACATCGTAAAGTGACTACCCAAGTTTCCCTCTTTTCCCCTTTTTTTATATTTTAAAATTGAAATATGTTTGAAAACAATGCATAAAGACATTATTGGCCTCTAACGAGTTCAACAAATAACTCTAAATCCATGACGTGTGAAAAATATGAAAAAGTGAAAAAAAACGAGAAGTTCGTATAACACGTACGAACTTCAAAAGTGTGCGACTGCGAATAATTTTCCGGTGAACGACAGCAGACGGATATTATAATATTATGTCTGTTGTTCACTGACACTCATCATACAGACCCGTTCGGACACGTGCCGGTCCCGAAAAAACATTCTCGCGCGGAATGCCGGACGGGCCCTGTGGGTTCGCTACGTGTACGAACGGAACGGAAACGTTTGAACGTGAATCGCTGCATTCAAACAAAATATTAAAACATTTTCCGGAACGGTAACGGTGTCCGACTGGTGTGGATCGTTCAAAAATCATAGCGCACGCGCATCGGAGAAACCGATCGCTCTGCGAACGTGCTCCGACGGGACGGGGCCGAGAACGCGTGTGTTCCGCGGATGACGTACGCGGAGCGCGACGGTGATCTATGGAATGCCACGACGCGGGCGCAGCGCGTGTACGACCGTAAACCGTGAATGTGACTAACCGCGAAAATATGCGGTATCCTCGTCGAGACGTGCACCTCCGGCGGATCGAAGACTGGATTTTTTTTTTTTTTTTTGTTTTCAGCTTCCTTCCCGTCGTCGTCGTCGTCGTCGTGCGCATATATGGTCGGCCGAAAAATCGTACGCCGCGGTCGATGTTTCACCGGTCGGCGCCGACACATCGATCCAATCACGTTCCAGCACCGAACAATTGTCCCACTCGATGTACTCAACGCGCGTCGTACGCGTACGGTGTTACGTGTCTCGGTATCGTCTCGGTGGCGTACGCGAATACGCGGGCGACCGTAAAGCGTTATCAATATTGTTTTCGAGTTGCACATGTCGTGTCGCGCGAGATTCGCTTTCAACTCGTGTCCGACGTGTTCACGCCGGTCGAACGTTAACCATATTCCACCAAACGTTTACGATCCCGTGACTTTTACGGAGCATTTTTTTTTTTTTTTCATACGAACGAGGTGATGCACGGTTTCGCAGAAAACGTGTCACGACGGAAATATTTTATCGTCTCGTCCGCGAGGTCCGACTCCGAACTGCCATTTAAAGGATCCCGGATGTGATGACCTCCGGGAGTGTGGCCCCGAAAACGTCTGCTCATCAAATACCGATAAAATGCTATAGTGCGCAAAATCATGATTCCGATTCAAAACCGTTCGAATTGAGCGCTCATTTTTTCTACCGCGTTCTTCGTGACGAACAAATGGAAAGTAACAAACTTCCGAGTCTCGATAAATAAACGAGTTATCTTAAAAGTGAATTACCCTAACCTTGCTCTCCAAACGTGAAAAGTATACATTAAATGTGTATACGGTGTACAGTGACTGCAGTTGAGAAAAACCGGTACCTTGTTGAAAACGTGCACAACCCGTTTTTAGTGAACCACAAAGTTCGAGTGATAATTAATTTTATTGTTATTACCAGTTCACTGGTTTTTCGGGGCAAGTTATTTAACGGTCTCGGTAAACGGGGGCACCTGGACACTGGGCTCTCGAGTACAAGGCAGTAATAAGTGGTGACCATCGCTTGTATATTGGTAACACCGTCGAACAACCATGGTCGCAACTAAAGCCCAAATATTGGGGGTGCTAAAATTGCTGAAAATAAAAT